TATTGAATGTAAACAGAATTTTATCTGTCAAACCCATAGCAGCATTTACTGTAACTATTAACCCGGTTTTGCTGTGGAGGAACGCAACATGCATTACTGAATCATTTCTTTTCAAATCCATACATTCCCTGCAGCAGTTCAAGCTCCATCAGCAGTGCAGGAATGTATGAAAATGACAGGCAAAGGGCACTAGCTCTTTTCCCATACTGTTCTTCTATAAATGGAAGCAGAGTCCTACAAAGCACTTAAAGCTGAGAATGTTTGAAGACTGATCTCCGGGAAAAAAATATTACGATGTTAGGTTCCATGAGAAGATTAATTATTCTGTTTTCCGCCAAAACTGTTTCCCTTAAATGAAAGGACAGAGAGGAAACCAACTACTAGAAAATAACGGAACGCTAACTGGGTCTCATCTACACAGCTGCCATGAACAAAGCATATACGTACACATACATATTTCATATGCTATTCATAAAAATACTTCTTATCCCTTTTGGGAGCACCTGTTCCTGCATTCACTTTTCCCCCTCCTCTCTGCGAGGGGAGAGGGAGAGAAGAAGGGCAGATTTGGCAGAAATCCTTTAACGGCCTCAAGTCGATTTGATTAAACTTTGATTTGCCTTAAAAATTACACCTTGTATCAGCAGCACGTTATGGAAACTTTAAAATACACCGTTCAGAACAAAAAAAGCTCTGAAATATGTAATGTATGCCACTTTGAGAAGCTGGTTGGGCAAGCAAATACAAGTATGCTACATTAAAACACAGTAAGAAACTTGCGTGCTTCTTGCTAAAACTCTGAGTTGTTTTCCAGTTTTCTTCTGTTGCTGTTTTTTAATGGCTGATACAAATACATAGCGTTCTCTTAAAAAAAAAAGGGGGGGGGGGGGAAGAAGGAAAAAAAGCCTTTGCACATTTAATAGCAGCCCTTCGCTGCTCCTTCGCCATCCTTAGCGTGAAGAAAATACCGTTGCACATACCACATATACACGCCTGGACTTAACGCCAGACCGGGCTCCCCGCGGTACCGAGAGGGAGGGGGCAGGAGGAGCCAAGGCAAGAGCAAACCCTCTCTGCACACCGAGTCCCCTTTCCAGTATCTTTTTACAGAAGCCCTTGCTAACAAAACACTATTGCTCCAGGCAGCGGCATGCTGATGTTGGCACTGCTTAAACCAAACAAACACGATGTTTAACAGTCAAATAAAATGTCCCGCAGCCTCCCTAATGAATTTGTCAAGGACCATCAGATCACCCCCGCCCCTGCCTCATTAACTCAAGTATGATGAGACGGATTATAACGAGAGAATACAGATCAATCGGTCTGAAGACTTCAAGTGGCTTTTAGCCCTGAGAGTTTCCCTCTCCGCGGCACACACACGCACACGGTCTTTTTAATGGAATACAGTATCTCCTGCTGCTGGAGGGGCTGCCACTTCGTTTTATACACCATCAAGGAGCTGCTGATGGACTTCTACGCTAACATACATAAAAGCAGAGGTGACAAGGGCTCTTCAATTATAGCCTCCTCGGATCCTGTTCCCCCTTCAATTATTCATCCCGGCGAGAGCAAATTCCGCCACAGACGAAGCTGGTCTTAATGCACCGCGGCCACAAACGCCCAGACACAGGAGAGAAGGGTTTCACGTGCATTATTTGCTGGAAGTGTTTAAGTTTATTGCTCAAATGATGTTTCTAATTAGCGCTGGGGCAATAAATTAAAGTCGGCTTTTGTTTAGCTGATTTATTATTTACTAGAGCTTCAACCTCAGACAGGAAAATTGGTAATGAATTGTTTTAAATCTGAACGCTAGTAACGCTTCATCATTCGCCCCCTGGCGGGGGGGGGGGGTGGGGGGGTG